AAGAAAGCAGCCTCATGTCCACTATTGGTTCAATGGCCAATTTGAAATCAGTGTGCCAAGGGCGCTAGAAAGAAGATGTTGATACAGAACTCAAACTAGGGGTATATGCAATTGGGTACACAACAGAAAATATGAATAGGAAGACCAGTAGTAGATTTAGCAAAACTATTATTTATGCACTTTATATCCCAACTAGAGCGGAAGAATTTAGTGGTGAGATCAAACATAAAATAAAGCTTTCAAACACTTATTAGCTTACCGCGATTATTTTCCTGATTTAGATGCTTAGACACTATCCTATATTATAGATATTGAAGATTTATATTGAAACTAATTATGGCTCATAGAATTTTTTTTTTTAACAAATGAAAAGACAAATAGTACCTAGGCAATCCTTTCTTTGACCACAGATTTTGAACTAGGTACTCAAAATTGATTTGTAAAATTTATCGGAACATACCTACAATATTAAGCCAAGTTAAACTATTCACCCAGTACAATATTATTATTAAAATTCTTATCTTTAATATTATTTATGTGTAATGTGCCGAAAAATCTTACTTAAATTATGTAACATTGATTATTATTTTATTATTATAATAATACGCAATACCTGCTATATCTTAGTAAGAAGTTATTTTGAGATTACTATATTAGGGAATTATTTTAAAGTTTTAATGACTGCATGGATTTTATTTTACAATATACATTATGTCCTAGTTGAAATAAGCTTAAAACAAATCTGAGTTAATACTGGAAATAAAAATTAACAAAATTAACAGCAGAATTTGTTTAGAAGTATTTCAAATAGAACAACCTGTAAATCCCATAAAACCAAATTGTCATTGGATTTTTTTGTTTGTTTTAGTCTTGAAAGTCGAGATATTTCGAGAATTAGAGAGCAAACTAGTTATGAAGGAGTTGTATAATTTTGTGTACAGTCTTTTAATATCTCTCAATAATTGTGTTTTTTCGATGAAAATACGTGCATTGAATTTGGAAAAAAAAAATATATTAAATTTTGATGCCATTAACGACTTGAGGACTAATTCTCATTTAATACCTATAATATGAAGTTCTGATAAAGTAAAAAAATTGAATATAAAGAAAAAATTTCAGTCTCTAAGTATTAAGTAACTTCACATATAAGTATTATCATTTTTGTTCAGATCTAGTTTTATGGGATTGAAATCTTATTAGAATGATGACATATTGTATGGGATGATGAATGTAGAGACAGAGCCATATAGCTGGCAGTGAGACAACTATAAAAAAACGGAGTCAACCGAGTGCTGTAAATGCAACAATTTTAATATTCCTGAAGTATTTTGTACCATTCATTAGTTTGTACACTTACAATAGAGGTCTCGTCTAGGTTCTATCAAGAATTTAGCAGAAGATAATTTTCGGTAGCCTCAATAAAAACAGTGTGTCTTTATTAGAGGCTATTCATTTTTTAGGCTTAATTTTTAACACATAACATATTTTCCTTCTACTTAATTCTGCTTCTATAATATTAAAAATCTTCATAATTTTACAATATACTTCTCAATTTTCAACAAACATCTATAGTCTGAAGGCCATCATATTTTTTTTTTTTAGATACTCTGTATATACTCGGACAAATTTTTAAACAACACTATACCTGTCGTACAAAGTGGGGGTTGACTCCTGAGGTAAACAAATATGTATGTTGTTTCTCTGTTTTTTTAAGGCATAAGATGGCGTTTCAATTATTTGTTTTTTTTTTTCAAAAGCCTTTTGGTTAAATAAGTATCTACATTACCCAAAGATTTTTGAACTCTTTTTCAAGATATATTTTGGATATTTGAATATGAGGTAATTTGGTTACAATAGAATTTAAAATGAAACATTCAGCGTAGTATCTATGGAAAAGTATTGTTTTTCTGACAGTAAATAGTTTTCTTAAAATTTGTAATAAGCACTGTTTCAAAACTGGAATAGTGCATCAAATCAAATTCTATGTTTGATTTCTAGAAAAATATTTTTAGTCAGAGAAAACAACAAAGTTTATCTGAGAATAACAAAACAATAAGATTTGTTCGATTGGCTTGGTAACAAATTGAAGCCTTTACGGTTTTTACCACTTTCGCTTAAGTATAAGGTGATACAAATCAACTTTCTATAAGTACAGTGTGGTCATTTTATCTTGATAACATTTCAAACTGTTATAATTTCTTTATGTTTGAAGTTATTTAAATAAATAAACATACTGTAGGGTTGGTTTCCAAGTTTTAGATAGGGTGGACAAAAAACAAAAGACTAATATATTTTGACAGTTATGCATACACATAGCATTTTTTTGAATGGAACACCCAGTTGATTTTTAAATTGTTTGATAATATGTTTTATTCTAATCGCAATATACGATGCAATACACTCTTGAATACAATTTACTCTATATTTACATGCAAAAGGGTTTTATTGATTCTAATGGAAAATTCTGTCTACCTACCTACCTTTGCAGGTAATCTGTGTATTTTCAGTTAGAATATATAAAACATTTCTGCATGTAAATATAGAGTGAATTGTATTCAATTGTATTGTATTGTATAGGTATATTGCAATCAGAGAATGAAACATATTGGGTTTGTTCCAACCCGTCAAAAAACCGTTCCAGAACGGTTTCTACGCAAAAATGTTAGGTTTTGCGCAGAATTCTGACGGTAATATTACGGTTTCCTGCTGGGTTGGAACAAAGCTATTATCAAACAAACTTGAAATTTATTGGGTGTTCCATTCAAAAAATTGCCATTTGTTGCAAAACATAAAGAAATTATGATAGTTTGAAATATTATCAAGATAAAATGACCACCCTGTACATGGGGATACTAGATCAATCGTTGTTATTTTCCTTGTTAGCCAACAATAACATCAGATTGTGCCACAAAAACATATTGACATTGACATAATCTAATGTTTTTGTTAACTGACAAGGACTTAACATAAAGCCGCACCTATAATACCTGCTTTAATAGACTGTACATCAACACAACAACTTGTACTGTAAGTTAGTTTGAGTGTCTACAACCAGGTCTTGTAACCTAGTTGCTGGAGATGACCAAATCAGTTCTATCTCAAAAATTAAAAATTTTTGAGCTACTAATTATTTACTCAATTAATTTTGAAACCCCCATCAAAAATGTTTACTTCTTTTTTTTTAAATGACTGAGTATTCCCAGCAAATGGCTTTTGAATACGTATAAGATTTAACATCTATATGGTTAATTTAACCTTTTAAACACCAAAAAACATTGTTTACCAAATATCCAAAATAATTCCTGTTCGTCCAAAAAACAAAACTTATACACATCTGTCTCATATATATTTTTTTGTTTTTAAATTTATGAAAATATGTTATTATTTACAAGGATGAAAAATATGTATGTATATGCAAAATGTAGGTAACATTTTAGTATGTATAAACTAGCAGCTTGAAATACTTATGCGGAAAAAAACTATACAATATAAAAAAATGAGTAGACTGATGTTGAACTACACATCCAAATAGATTAAACATCAAGAGTTTTTTTAAATCTTTTCAAAAGGCAGGATAGTCTGTTTAAGGGGTTAAATATTATGTACGCATGACTATGCCCAAAAATGCAAATGGCACTCGTCGTGGAGATATTAGCACTGTCTTTAATTCAATCTGGAATCACTTCACATTCACTGTCTTTCCTTTTAAAAAGGGTTTTTTTTTTGCGGACGGCTACTCATCAGAACTTAGCTTCGTGTGCGGTTTTTGAAGTAATTCTGCCATTTAAATGATTTTGTTTTGTTAACCTCTCCAACCAGTACAAAATCCGGTTCTCACTCATTGAAAAAAAAAATCTAATTAAATTAAGGAATTTTTGAAAACTGGGATTAATTTAAATTAGGTAGGTAGGTACTGGAACTATTTATCAAAAATCTACAAAAGTATATTCAAATTTAGGTAAAAAGAAGTTTTAAATCCATATTATAATATTCACTTTTCATGGTATTTCGTTTATTAGACTTTCAAATTATTTAATATAGTTTAATAATAATCTATTTAATCACAATTTCCAGAATTCCTTATTCTAATAACGTTCTACTAAAAAATTTACTAATAAATTTAGGGACTAATAATCCATAACTTTTCATTTATCCTCTCTAAAAAAAATTAACTAAATTGCACTTTTTTTTTTAAAATCCATCCTAACAAGATCAGCCAATTGTTTCACAAGAAATTTCTCTACACTTTCATTTTAGTTATTTTGCACCTGCCCTCAGTCTGAGTGGTAGTGGTTTTACGTGAAGGCACCATTTTTAATTTTTCAGTCCTCAGTCCCAGTCTTACCAATTTTTGTTGTGTATGTAAGTGTTTTGTAAGCATTTTATTATATCGCCATGTCAAAAGGTTCATTTTATCAAAAAGGGATTTCTCACGTGAAGGTGAATTTTACAAGGCATATAAAATCTACATTAGTTAAAAAAACTTAGTATGAAAAATCGAGCTAAATTAAACGACCTAATATTTTGCCAGATTCAACCTGAAAAACCTAGTTTAAATTTAACTTATATTTGAGATTTTTTCAGAGGAAATTGAGAAAGAATAGGTATTCTCGGTGTCATATTTAACACATAATAAAGAAATTTCTATCTAACGAAAAACTTTTTTTGGAAAATTTGAATTGAAGTTAAATTTAAACCAGGTCTCAGGTATATGGCCTTAAATAACACTATATGCTCAACATAATCAACATTTGCCTAGATGCCGCCCAACCAATAGTCAGTAGTATTTATAATATAAAAAATTGAATAACTTTACAATATTTCACAGCCAACTGGTGGTGTTGCGCCGTCAACCTTCTTATCTTTGCTCCTTCACCTTCTTCTTTTCTCTGCCTTAGCTGCTGCGATGAAGGTGCTGTCGTCCTAGTAGCAGCAAAGATAGTGACAAGCCAGTACACCACCCATTCGGGTTCACCCGTTTTATGGTGCATGTTTCTACACTATGTCTTCACATCGACGTCCCAAATCTCCGCGAGGAATGGAGGTAACTTTTTGTTCTTCAGCTTCAACGAGAAACACATTTCCGAATTCTGGTTGCCCAGAGTTCTCAGTTCAGTCAATACCGACACAAGTTTTGCAAATATGATGTGCGCTCGCGGTTTTCTCCTATTATCCACATACGCTTTTAAAGCTTCGAGATAAATCTCTTGTATTTTTCCAACTTTCCAGCCTTCCATCAATGACGGTCGTTCTAAAAATGCCAAACAGTATTAGAAACATGATTTATCCAAAATACTACTGCCCTTACCTGAAAAAATGACAATGGCGGTGAGTAAAGCGTATTCAGCATTGTCCACTTTCATAGCGTACATCGTTCGGCAAAAATGCAAGAGATCTTCGATGGTCTCGCCCATACCAGCGAGATTGTAGCTATCCCTAGAATATGGCTGATTGTTCGAGAACAGGATGGAGTCAGTTTGGAAATCGTATCTTCGCGCCATTCTGAACATCATTACCTCACTGGAACATGCCTTCACAGAAAAAAGTTTTGTTTTATTATTTGTTCTATTTGTTCATTACCTATATTTAAAAATAATAAAACTGTCTCTTACTTTGAGTAAAGCTATTTGATCCTCCCTCAATAATTTATCAAACCCTGGTAACTGTTTCGCGAACTCGACGATGAGCTGGACTGTGAGTATCGTTATCTCCGTAATGTGTCTGAACCGAACCTCACGTTGATCCTCATCTTCCATTGGCTGATTCTGAGATAGGTACAACATAATTATGACGACTCAGTTAATTATTATGAATTTTATCTACAAGATAAACACCACGTCTTTAAAGCTAGAATCGGTTACATTATGTATTAAATTTCATGAAGACCTCTGATAGTACAATTAGCTAGGGAGACTATTTTTAAATTATCACTATATCAGTAGGTAATCGTGTGACATATGTTAACACTCCGGAAAATTGTGCAGAGGTTTGTGAGGGAAGGAGTTCCAAATCTTGTTTCATGAAAAATTAATCATAACATCATAACTATATACCTACTAGATGCTCTTTTTTTCGGGGAAATCAATACAAACCAGGGTTAGTCTTCAGTTAGCTAGAGGGCATTCTTTCGCTCCTCCTGGGGAAGCTAGTGGTAGATAACATCCTAACCAAGCTGAGCAGAGCTGAATTGAACCTGGGCTACAATAATCCTGGTAATAATAATAACCAAAAGTTAGCATGAAGCCATTATCACTAACCGAACGCAAACTGCCTTAAACATCATCAGAGACTGGAGCGACGATGTGGAATTATTTCTAAACCTTAAACTCGCCTGGAATAGCTATCTAGATGGAACTATCTGTTAAGCCGTAGTAGCTATCTGGATATGACGGAAACCTTATCGGCATGGTGGCGAAAAACTGAGTAGGTCACCGCTCAGATCAGACTGAAGAATTACAACGGCTATCTAGGAATAACAGGGGCAATGTCGAGCTGCCTTACCGTTGTTACAATTTTTGTTACCAATTTTGTTATGTAATAAAAAAAAAGGAAAGTGAAGTGAAAGTAAAAATTTAGAAAAGGAAATTTAGGATGGTGGCTACAGTACTACCAGACGAGAAAGGAAACTCTTTCTAAAAGCTGCCGACTAACTCTTACAGTAGAGAGTGGTGTGGGTAATTAAATAAAAAGCGCCACCTGTTTCAATGCCCTTCAGTTGAACGGAGTTCCGATCTCCAAAACAAAACAGGAAAACCAACAGAGTTCACCTCAACATACCTAAAATACCTTTGTAAATAGATCTATTTATACCTGGTGTACAGTGAGCAGTGGAAATAATTAAATGTGTGATAATTTGAGTGTAATTATTGTCTAAGTGATTGACATATTAAAGGTTAGAATCTAATTAAACCTGAAGAGTTAAAAAATAATAATAATAATAATCTTCTAGCAAAGTAGAACTAAAGGACCGCTCACGAAGCATGAAGCTGTTGGTAATTAAATAAGGCTCCAGCTTTCAATGAGATTGAGATGGAAAAACAAACTGCCAGATGATCAATTTAGAGGCTTGGATGGTTCCCAAAGACAGCACAACAATACTCAAAGCTTGTTAATGTATATTGGGTGGGTCTAGTCGGCTCTCAGATGGGTGAGAAGATAAAGTCCTCAAAGTTCTACGGGCGATCCACCAGATCCAGGGCTACTTGTCGGGAAAATAACCAGACTCCAAGTAAATTCAAGGCCTCAATGAATTCAAGATAGGGTTGGATGTCACTTGCTTGGTACGGTGTAGTTATAGAGACAAAGGGGGCAATATAAGGGAAAAAAAAGGCCTAAAACAATGAACATTGCATCAGGATTTTGAAGAATAAGGTATGTACGTATTTATTTAAATATTCTTAGCAGTAAAGCCTCAATTTAGTATTCAAAAGTAAAAAAAAGGAACTTACCAATGGGAAATTGGCCTTTTTTACACAAACTCAAAAACGTGGAACCAAAAGTTTAGGTTTTTCTCCCGTAATTCGTCAATAAATCGGCAATATAGTGCTTCGGTGCTATAAACGAGCTAATAGCCACCTTTTGACGAATTATCTGGGCCTAAACCTATCGAAAAATCAGCAAAAAGCCACGAGAAAAGCAAAAACATTGCTTCTTCTTCAACGAAAAATGTGGTTCTATCACGAAATCAGTTTTTTCCTTTGTTTTTGTGGTACCTTCGCGCGGGAATTTTGGTTCTGGGGAAAAGTTAGGGATTTTCGATTTTTTAGTTTATAGCTTCAAATTTTCGAGCCAAAAATCAAAAGACATCTAGGAAACCAAAAGGGAAACGAGGTTAAAATCATTGTTTAATAAGTCTTTCTTGACAATTTGACGTTCCTCTGTTTCATTTCAGGAGGGTTCGAAGTCCATGAGAGAAGATGTTCGGAGGTTCTTTAGTTTTTTAATTATTTTGTAAAGACCTATTATTGTGACCCGTAACACCGTAGCCTTAGAGATGCTGAACATGCCTCTACTTCGCCTAAGTGTGAAAAAAAAAGGCAATCACTTGCGATAATATGTTATTCCAGATAGATAAATTCAAGCCTCGAGATCTGAGAGGTCACCTGCGCAATAAAGGTCTACGGTCTCACCTAGAGATTTTAATCGCTGTGGTAATTAACATCCGCCAATCATGGGAGAATGGGGAGCTACCACACATGCAGCGAACACCTCGCTGAGTAACACAGATGGCTCCAAACTAGCGAACGGAGCTGGATTGAGCATTTGAGAAACTTCAAGTTGTCCCAGCTACTGGGCAAATATCCAACCATAGTCCAAGCTGAATTGCTTGCAATCAATATTTGTGCTCAAGGGTGTCCAAATCAAGACATCAAAACATAACACATCTTGATACTATCGGACAGCCAAGCGGCTTTAAAGGCATTGAAGGCCTGCAAGTGCGTATAAAAGCTAGTCTGAGAATGCAATCAGTCTCTAAAACTACTATCTATGAGCAACCTGGTTACCTTGATGTGGGGCCAGGTCACGACTAGTCACGAGGAAGCAGCGAGCCTTACAAATAAAGTGCTAAAACACCATACTGCGCCTTAATGAAGAGCTACGTAAGAAACGAACTATATAAATGGGAGAAAGACCAATTGTCTACATACTGATGGAGACAAACTCCAGGACTGAGACAGGCAAAAAGAGTCATCACCACATCACAAAAGAGGGCAGAACCACTCCTATTTACATATGAACGGAGATGATATCAGATGGGTGGTCGGAGTGCTCACCAGACATTCCAGACACTGCCCAGTGAAATATTACCTAGAGGCAGACGACAGACACAGAACATTTACTCTGCGACTGTTCGGCCTAACTCTGAATAGCTACCCATATAGGTACCTTGAAAAATAGCTGGAAATACTTTGAACAACATACTTTTACTAAGATGTATTAAACAGGTCCCTAAACATTTTTTTTATTTTTCTTATACCCCCTTTTTCATCGCCACTGCACAATTTTTTCGAGTGTTAACATATACCACGTTTTTCTATTTGGTTTTCTAAAGGAAACAAAAAAACCGCATGATTTCATCATTAAAAGTGCCACGGCAGGAGAAAACTGACCATAGGCTCCCCGGCTAAATGATACATTGACGCTTTTTAAATCTTGTAGTTAGTGAACAACAAAAAAAGCCATACTCTAGCCTCAAAAAGGTTAATGCTTATATACTTAAATCATTTTGAACAGGCTGTGCTGAAAAAACTTGGAAATAAAAAAATAAAAAATATAATCTAAGCAGTAAAAAAAAGTTCCAAGAAGTTTAGAACACAGATAGAAACATTATTAGGTATGTTCCAACCCGCCAAAAAACCGTCCCAAGAACGGCTTAGGAACCACTCTGTATACGAATACATTTTACGTTTTGCGCAGAATCCTGCCGGTAAAATGTACGGTTTCCTGCTGGGTCGAAACAAAGCTATCGAAAATGTAAACTTACCAATATTCTTTTCACATCTTCCTCTGAGGGGTGCTCATACTCGTTCTGGAAGTACACCAGCCGATGTATAAGTTCTTCCTGTTCAGGGGATATGGGTTTGACGCCGTTTCCGTTTGATCTATCCCCTTCGGCCAATTGGGAGAATAGAAGCTGGCAAAAAATTATTTTAGTAAACAGATAAATATTGCTCAAATTAGTTACAAGTGAAAGATGGAGTTATGGTCGATTAAGAATAGACTTTGAGTTGCTTTCAAGTGGCACCTTCTTAAATGTTGGTTCCTTGGAATAAAAAACAGATTTCACATGTTTATTATCTGTGTGTTAAATAAAATGTAACCCTAATAATAAAACCCTTCAGGCCATATTGAGAAACTCTGCACACAATGAGAGGTTAACTAATAAGATTTTAATCTGAATTTAATAGTTTGCTCATTTGTTTCGTAAAAGACCACTTTCACCTGCAATTAATTGTATGTAAAGGTATTTTTGGGCATAGCATTAAGATTATTATTCCATGATGCATATTTCTTATACATAATAATTCTCACGTCCAAGTTAAACATTTCATGAGCATTATTTTCTCACCCAAGATAATCATGGCAAAGATCCATTATGACAAATAGATGTGTCACTTGAGAAAACCTAATAAGGACAGTCTTAAACAGCACAGAGGATACATGGGAAACCACTAAAGTGTCATCACGCTAAGTGCATTGTAATACTTATGAAAAGGTTTTAAGATTATGGTTTTTAACTTAACTTAAAATAATAAATATCCTAAATTGAAATTTCAATATATAATGATGTCATCCCCATCTGGAACGTGTATCATAGCTGGATGATTACATACGTTACTTTTGAACACCTGGTCTTACTATGACTTTCTTCCAATTTTTTGAGTCACGCTTATCTAGAGGTGAATGAGAAATTATTGGCACGTCAGTCATAAAGTGACTGAAAAAGCGTGTTTCTGTCAGACATTTTTTGAGTTTGCAAATATTAGTATTAAAAACATTATTGGAGTGTTGTTCATATCTGTTGCTATCTAGATAAAGAAAGTACTGTAAGCGGCTATAGAAAGCGATAAATCTAATGTTATTTATAAGGTACAGTAATATTTGCGACCCACTTATTAAAGACACTATCAAGATTACCTAAGAATATCCTTACGCATTTTCCTAACGCTTCCGCAAAATTTAATTGAAATGTTCGATCAGACAATTGGTTTTAATTATAGTTTTAATAACTCTAACTCTACGTACTACCTTGAAGCAAAATGTTTGTGCCTGGGGGCAAAACTGGATTATTTCTCATCATCGCTTAGTCTTCTAGACTTCAGACAGGTATTGATAAAAAATAATGGTTGTTAGTGGAAGTAGAACGTAAGCTCTGTTTTTATACATAAATAATTTTTTATATGTAGGTCAACTGGCTTTTAGTTGGTGAAATTCGTATGTATATAGGAGTCACTCATTTTAAAGCCAGGCTCTTTTCGTGTAATTACAATTTTTCAGGTTTTCAACAATTGGCCATGGAATAGTAGGTATGCATATTGATATTTATATTTTCTCTCAACCAACATTAATATCTTACCTCTGGTTCAATTTTGATTACACCTGTAGGCGACCCATTGGTGTTACTGCAAAGAAGTGTCGTACTGTTGGGCTTGTCCTTTTCCTTTAGTGCTTTCTTTTCCTTTCTCTTGACAGCACACTGTGTCTCGGGTACTACGCATTCTGGTCGCATGCCAACCGTCAGACACTTTTTTAGTCGACATTCTTGGCACTTCCGTCTCATGTACATATCGATGTCGCAATTGTTGCCGTACTTGCATTGATAGACTGCATTTTTTGTTATGCTCCGCCGGAAAAATCCTAGGAAACGGATTGTTGCGAAACGTTTGATAAAATGAAATTTTCACTTACCTTTACATCCCTCACAAGTAAGCGCATTATAATGGTACCCCGACGCCCTATCCCCACACACCAGGCACAATTCCTCCTGTTGTCGGGGCGTCGGTCCTTTCTTTTTCTTCGCATCACAACTATCTGCACTGTATCCGTTCAGGCTGCTTGGAGGTGATAAATCTTCCCTTCCTGGAAAAAAAAAGAATATGCATAAAAACGGGTTTTGTGCAAAAATCCCAAGACAGTTAAACTTCTTTCTCACCCTTGCTTTTCCCCTTTTCCGAAGTATAAAAATAAATCCAAGCAAAGGAGAAAAAAGCGAGTTATAATAGGATTTGCCCTATACAATAGCAAACATGCAATTTCGCCGCTATGGTGCACCGACAATGCATAATAATGCAGAATGCAATTGCATCAAGGGTAAAATTTTTGTTGTAGAGTCGAGTTGCGGTAAAAGGCATGATTATTTCAATACCCCGGCGTACTGACTGGCTCTGTTCAAGGACAACTGGCAATTATTATAGCCATTGCAAGAGAAAGAGGCTTTTTAAGATCCGATGGGTACGACTACTTTAGAATGGCGATAAATTAAATTGTATGTAATTAATATTTTTTTCAATTGGTATACCTATGCATGTGGAAAAAACAGAATAGTTGAGAGCCTAATTCAGATCTAAATATTTAAAAATGTATTGGGGATTATCGGGATTTGGTTTATACCTAAATAAAAGAAACTCTGAAAAACGAAAATAGAGAGTTTTGATGCCACTCTTTGAAAACACGCTCCATGAACGTCTTGGCAAGTTTAATCACAGAAAAATCAAAAAAAATCCTGCAATTATGAATACCAGGAAATTGAGCCTTAGATGAAATCAGGAGTGAGTGAGTAGGATCCTGGGGTAAATATTGAATAACAAAACATAAAACACTAGAGTGCCAAATTTTATCTAAAGTCAGTGGCGGATCTATAGCACCATTCTAGGGGGGGTAGAGTTTCTCGACCAGTAACGGCTCGTGGTCTATACTTGAAGGGCAGACATTTTTTTCGGGTGCCACGCCCAAAACGCATTTTAAGCCTGCAAAAAATAATTTCTGTGTTTTTAGTTTAATTTAATGGGGGGGAGGTTAATAACCCCCTTCACCCCCTCGTGCATCCACCACTGGGAAAAGACGTAGTTTACAATAATAAAAATACCGTACGATTACGTCATAAATACGTCAGCCATGTCGTATTTGAAATATGGTACAATTGACGTCTTCATAAATATGTCAGTTTCATTATGACATAACGTTTATGCATGTGACAGTAGGGCCATAAATCACGTCATATTGGTAAGATGACATCGCGAACCGAAGTTGACTCTAAAATGACGTCATTTGGGGAGAATTCAAGAGCCTGGAATAGAAAAACAATCCTCGTATTTCTGCTTACCAATTAGTTTCTTCTCAAATTTTTCTCAATTTTCAATTCTCATAAGTTTTCTCGCTCATTAATTGAACCCTATGCTGGAACAACGTTTCAAACGCCAAATATACCAAACAAGCGCGAAACTAGGGCGGTTGCAATTAAAACGTTATTGCACAAAAAGGACATACTGGGCCAATTGAAATGGCATCAATACTTCATAAAAAAAAATCATATTATCCCACTATTAAGTTGGCGAATTATCCAGGGTACAATACAACGTTATTCCATGAAAATACCGTTTTTACACATTGTCGTTTACAACGTTGTTCCAGCATAGGGTTCAATTCTTTCTTTATTTTTGTCTAATCCCTGCTGGCCTGCTCTTGAATTTCTTCAAATTTCCCTAAATAGAGGGACTTTAAGTTATACTGGAATAGAGTAAATTCTTGTATTGCTGCTTATCAACCATAGTTTCTCCTCAAATTTTTCTCAATTTTCAATTCTCATTAATTTTCTCGCTTATTTAACTCTTCCTTTTCAATTTTTATCTCTTCCCGGCTCTTAACTTTCTTTAAATTGAGGGAATTCAAGAGCCTGAAATAGACAAAAATCCATTTCATCTCTCTCCCTCTGTACAGTTTTTACCTGATAATGGTTGTATCTCTCTTACACTTGACACTAATTTCCCTGTAACAGGAGTTGGCAAATAAACATTGAATTGAACTTCGTTTGTCAATCAACTTGTTTATGACTGAGTTGAATACAAGAGCCGGGAATAGACAAAAATCGATTTCATCTCTCTTCCTCTGTATAGTTTTTTTTACCTAGTAATGGATCTATCTCTCTCACACTTGACACTAATTTCTCTGTAACAGGAGTTGACAAACAAACATTGAATTGAACTTTGTTTGTCGATCAATTTGTTTATGACTGAGTTGAATTCAAGAGCCGGGAATAGACTGAAATCGACTTCATCTCTCTTCCTCTGTATAGTTTTTTTTTACCTAGAGATGTGCTGGATCAGTCTTCCAGCTTCCCCTCTCACATGCGTTTTAGGATACTGCATTTTCTCTATTGTCGTGATTGTTGGATTTTCATGAACCACTTTGATGAAAATATCTCGAAATGTAATCGATGGGTGTACGTGGAGTCTGTAGGTGTGACGAATTAACTAGTTTGAGCATAGAAAATGTCGAAAAGAAAGGATTATAGTTGTACATCTCAATAGCCGAGAACAGAACAAAATTTTCACGCAGTTTTACTTTCCTTCAAGAGGGAGATTTTCAGTAGAAGGTACCTATTGAATTATGTGAAAGGTCACATAAATATGAAGTTGAGAATTACGTTCGAGATTGCGTTATTTCATAGATTTTTTTGTGTTCTTCAAGGAGAGATAATCAGATGAAAAATGAGCAGACGAAAATCGGAGACGAAAAGAGAAACAAGAATAGGAAGATCGTAGAAGGAAAGAATGACAAGAGGAGGAAGCTCAAAGACTAAAAAAAGGGCAAGAAAGCCCGACAACAAGAAAAACTGGACCGGGTTCTGGAAAATTTTGACAGAATCGAACAAGGGAACTTAAAAGGGGGCACCAAGTGTTACCGCTGTGAAAGAAAAGGACATTTTAAGCGTGCGAGTACGGCTGAGATCTTGCTCTTTTTCTGATGACTCACAGCCTTCAAAATGGGGCACATTTTGAACGTGACTTTAGAGTATGGCTGGAGTTATTACTTCTTTACTTCTGACTCTCAGCCTTCGATTGAGAAGTAACACTACAATTTTTGAATCAAACATACCTCTGGTAAACTGCATAATAACGCAGATCTAGGTGGCCATACCCAGCTGCATCAGAATTGACCAGCGTGAAAGAGTTCTTGTAAGAAGCCTGCGATTTCAAACAAATCAAGAATGTTCCGAACAGCTTGGCAGTGATCAAATAGAAAACGGTCATTATCAAAACATTTTTGAATCCAAAGGGAATCGGCAATGGATCGCCAACAAAGTGGACGAAAAAAAAACAAAAATCCGGCAAGCAAAGAAAGCAAAACCAGGAACAAGAAGAATGTATCTCACCAATCTGCTGATGCAGAAGGTCAGAATTATCCTTTAGACAAAGGTTCTTACGTGAAGAAATACTACAAGTGCTACGACCGTCCGAGTAGACAGACAAAGCGGCTGGCAGCATAGCGGTCAAGAAGGAGCAGGTGGCAATTCTTTTGGTTCCAATGAGGAAGAACCTCAAGGCGTGAGGGTAGACGTGGATGGACAAGAAGGCATCCTAGAGAGAGCATAGAGATTTCAAGCATGTGAAAAGATGGATGGATGAAGATGATGACGAGTATGACAAAGAACATAGTTATAGAGGACATTTCCAAAGACATGGTTCTAAAGACCCTGAAACACATAGTACTGCTGGTAGTAGGGAGAGAAAGAAGAATAGATGGAATCATTATGAAACTGACTGGTCAGATCGGGATGATCTGTTAGGGAGGCATAGTTGCATTGGTGCCGAGAGGCCAGCCAGATTGTTTACGCTTATGACCCGGGCACGAGTATTAAGGAATTTCTATTCAGGTAAACAAGCATTTACGGATTCTAGAGAAGTCTCGACATTAGGATTCATGGACCCAGGCCATACTGATGCTGACTAGCTGAGTCATTTCTGAAAAATATCACACATCGAAAGTTTAAAATCTGCAGTAATAAAATCAACTCGATACAGTGAAAAAAATTCAAGTCTATCGTTATAGAAAGTAAAACACTTTCAAGCTCTCCTCAACTTTAACCTAACAATTTAGATAATACATAAAAAAGAGATTGCCCCGGAAATTAAAGGTTTCAAAATTCCTAATTGGTTTTCTAGGAAAGACGGTACCCAAAAAAATATGTGGTTCGAATATTTAATTTCGGGTGCAGAAAAAATTCCAAGGTCCTTCCTGATGCGCAAATAATTAGAATACTATAAAATGGGTTCAATGGGTTCATTAGCGTTTCAGCTTTCAAAGTTAGGTCAAGTTCTACCAGTTGTGTGGTCCAAGATTTAGTTTAAACAAGTTTCTAGATACCTACACATGAAAAAAATGTAAATCTAAGATTCTCGATCTCGCTGGTTAGTAACCTTCTACTATCAATCATTTGAAGCCAAGTATAAAAAATGAAAGTTTTCATATTTGTGGCCCACTGACCAACTTTTTATGCTTAAATTAGGTTTTTATATTCTGTTTGATGGTACAAGAACATCGCTATTCCATTAAGTTTTTGACCCAGTTTGCTAAAAACATAATTTTCAATATTGTCTTCTCCTCCATTCCAAAGGAGGAGTTTCCCACTAATCGAACTCAGATTTTTTTATACTGAATAAGAATTTTCAAAATAGGATTTTTTTTGATATCCTTTACTCTATATAAACAATTAATAGGCCCATGAATTTTCAAACAAAAAGTTGAGCATGTTGGGGCTTTAAAAAGATTCTTGGCGAAGAATGCAGGGTCGCAAAGTGCCCCCGGCTCTCCAGTATTAATGTGTTATCTATGTATAATATTGTGGACAACGGCCGCCTCGAGGCACTTGTATGTTGAAGACTTTGTTTCGAAACACGAACACGTCTAATGGCCTTATAAATGTTTAAGTAAATACAATCTGTCATTTTGCTAGTAGCTGGCTTAGAATAATTTAGTCCAATGAAAAGAGCACAAAAATGTTGATAAGTGGAGCGATAGCGTCAGCTCAAGACGATCAAATTGGACACTTACAAAATCACTTCGATAATTTCAATCCAGAT